CCCCAAAACCCCAAAACCCCAAAACCCCAAAACCCCAGCTGGTGAGCAAGCAATTGAAAAGGGCAAAATTTGGTTTGTGTTAATATTAAAAATAAAAATAAAAATGGAAAATCACATACAACATTGCGAAGAAGAATGCAAGTGGAAAGCAAAATATTATGATGAAGATAATGACATGTATTACTGTGAATTGCATTACAGGCAAAATAATAAGCCAGAACATGCAATTATACTGACATCGCCAGGCGAAGTCAAAAATTCCATTAATCTCCTTGTCAGAGGTCTCAGGTTCTTTATGGTCTTTAAATATCAGAAACACATGAGAATAACTCGGCCATCAATAAAAAACTTTCATAGGGAGATAATTGAAGATGTGAATAATCTCAAGAGACGGATGAACAAGGCTGAATCAAACAAGGAGCTTTTCTTGTTTACTGCTTTTAAATAAAGAGGCAGAACAAATCAAGAAGATTATGAATGAGGATAATGTGTTCAATACATTTACAAATGACTATTACTGGAGTCTTTTGGAGGAAGAAGATAGAACCCCATCTTCTTCGAAGCTAGTCTATGACATTTACAGGAGCTTAGAGGAAGTTGATCTTCATGAAGAAGAGTTTATAAGGAGAAATGATGAAATTTTAGAATTAAAGATGGAAGTCGATGAGCTCAGAAATAAAAATAAAGAGATGAAGAAGTTAAAGAAGAAATTGAAGAAATTCTCAAAGCAAAAAGATGAATTAGTCGAACTAAGGGAGAAAGTAGAAGAGTCTAAAGAGAAAAATAGACAAATAAAGAAGCTGAAGAAGAAAGTAGAAAACCACAAGAAGCAAAGTATTGAGATAAAAAGCTTAAAAAAGAAAATAAAAGATCTGGAGGAAGGTAACGTTTTGAGAATTAAGCGAACAAGACTTAATTTGATGCCTTCAAGTGATGCTTCCGTTTATGTTTATTTGATCCTCTTTAATTGAGAGCATGGCATAGTTGTTATTTGTGCTTGCATGCTCCATAGGATTAAGATGAGTTTACACAAGTTTCTCCTAGTTCTCATAAAACTTTAGTATTTTCTTAAAAATTATGTATGAAGTCTTTTTTACTAACAGCTCTATCATTTACTCCATATTTCCAGCTATTGCCATTTTATAGTATCTCTTTCGTGCAAAGTTTCGCATATCTTCGCTACAATTAGCACAATCTTGCTAAATTTACGATCTTCTCACAAAGTTTTGAGATTGCTAATTTTAGCCGTTTCTGTGCAAATTTAACTTTTCAGCAACTTATTCTAAAAACTGTGTTGTGATGTGCACTATCTGTAAATGCAAAGAAGTGCGATAACACTCACCTACTTTTCCTCTAGAAGTTTCCAGACTCCAAGAATCTGATGAACCATCCTCTAGTGAATCCATTGAAGGAAGCGAGTCCTCAGTAAGCATTGTCTACTCACTAAGTACAGGCTTCTTCTTCCTCTTCTGAAGAATCAAAACTTACTCTGCAAGAAGAGATGGACAAAGATAGTAAGTGTTAACTAATCCTAAACTAGATCGCTACAAGTCCTCTGACATCAGCAGCCTCTACAAAATTACCACTGGGCAAGACGAACAGTTCGGACCTGAAACTGAACTGACACTTACACTTGACAATCCCAAACACATGAAGTTTCTAACATCTCTGAACAAGAGAATGCCAGACATTTATGTACTTAATCTTTGGAACATCCCTCTGAACTGCCAAGAAGTCAACACTTTCCTGGCCACCCATTTCCCCAACAAAGTGAGGTACCTCAATTTTAACTTTGGCTCTGCTCTGAGTAGTTGTGTGCCCTTTTACTTGGAGGAACTGGTGGAAGTGAGTAAGAGAGTCACTGAAGTGTTGTATATTTATAATTTTGAAGTCTCTCAGGACCAACTCGTCGCACTCTTCTCCGCTAACAGGCATAAACAGTGGTTTGGGCTTCTCGAATGCAAACTCTCCCTGCCTTCAGTTCCTGATTTCGGAGGAAACCTCGCTGGAAGTACGATGCAAGGATTAAATTTGAGAGGCTGAGGAGGTTCTTCGTATGGCGACTGGGACAACAATGAGTCGCACTTTGAAAACCTGATTGCTGGGCTTTCCAAAGAGGAGGATTTTAGGAAGAATCTGAAGTGGATTGGAATGGCTTTGTGTGGAATGAAGGAGAATGTTGTGGAGAAGATTTTGGCTGATCATGGCTTTGGACATGTCGAAATTTTGTGGTACTCGAAGTAGATGCTAAAACTGAAACTGTCAAAAAGAAGAATTTTATTTTTGTCAGTTTTAATCTTGATCGATTATATTGTTGGCAATAAAATAAAATTCAATAAGTCTGACTTACTGTGGGGTTTTGGGGTTTTGGGGTTTTGGGG